TCTTAGGTTTTGCGGACAAGCAAAATGAGTGGAGAAGGAGAAAGGAAAGGGGCGAGATACGTGGTGATGGAAAGAAACCATATGGCATTAATTTTGACAAATTGGTCACTATTGCACCTACTAAGGTAACATTATAGGTACTTATACAATGATTGATCAACATCTATAAAAATTCATTTTGGAATATTTTTTGTTTACATCAGCAAAAAAAAAATAGTCAACTTCTACTTAGGTGTTAACTAAACAATTAACATTTAAGCGATTGGATGTATTGGTTACTTTTGCACTAATTCTGGTAATGTTATGGGTATTTTTGCTTCTGGTCGATGACTTCGTGGGTATTTTTGCCCCTTTTTTAGTCCACGTCAGTAAAGACTGACACATGGCATGCACAGTCAGCATTTAACGATCAAAGTTAATGGTGTTAGGTCAAAGTTAATGGTTTGGTTACTTTTGCACCAATCCACGTAACGTTATGGGTATTTTTACCCTTTTCGTCACTTTAGGATACTGGGTGCCCATGGCTGACTATTTTGTGGATATTTTTGCCCCTTTACCCTTCATATAATATTGAAAATAGTGGGGTGAGTATAACCACTCAGTAACTAAGGTCCTTCCAACTCACACTAATGCATGTCAATTAATTTAAATATAAGTGGCAAGTTGTTAAGCAATTTCAAATCATGAACATATTCAAGAGCATAACTCAGCATTTTCATCCACAATAATACATACTCATGAGATAATGGTCAAAATAATGTCATTTCATATAGAAACAAAACTAGCACATGTTTTATTCCATTAGGGACATAATACAGATAACCATGTACCCTTTTTCACTATATGCGTGATCACACTTTCTTTATATCCTCCTTATTCCTCTAACGCGAAACCATAGACTATAACATATTGGGATCATATATACTCTAAGACTACCTTAACCTAAACACATGTGAGGGGTTACCTGGCCAAGGTTTTTCTAACTTACTTAGTTTTCCCTATTTCTCACACTATGAGATGTCATTCTTCCTAGACTAGCTTCCTCTTCAAACAAGTGGATAGCTAGTTAGGTTCGAGTCCCTCATTGAACCAGTAGGACAGTCCCTCGTTAAACAAGTGGGACAAGATATGTAATGAATCCAAGCTAACCATCGAGCTCTAATAGGAGGCTTACCATGTGGATTTAAATCTTCACCCCTTTACCTAGGCAAACACCCACCTCTCTTGATCATGCAATACATAGATATGTGCTAACTTACAACATGCAAATTATTCACTACTCAAGCATGCTCAATTATCTTGTTGTACTCTCATTACACATAATTACAATTAATAATTGAACTTCAAATCTCCAACAATCATTGAGCTCCTCATAGTACACATATCTATTGAACTTCTTATAATACACGCATTCATTGAACTTTACATCAAGCACATTCATTGAACTTTCCAACACCCAATTTCATTGAAAATTTTCCTTTTCAAATCATTGAACTCCTCATGACAATAATAAGTGAAACTCCATTTACAATTCACATCATCGAGTATCAAGTAAAAACACTTCATTTAACTCTACTAAAGTATTAAAATGGATTTTCCAGTAAGACATGCCACACTTGCAATTCATTCAATTTTAGACGTTTGAATATCAAATATCAATCAACAAATTAATTAACACAAAAAAGCACTAGATAGAATTCTCCCAATTACCTCAAACCTTTGAGAGGTCAAAGGTTTCACCCCTCAAATACTCACTTTTAAAGCTTCCAAGAAGCTTGAATGGTGCCAATATGATTACTATACAAACATTTACAATATAATTCATCAATATCCATTTTTGGATAGTTTTCCACTACCAATTCAACACTTCTTCACTCCTAAGATTCATTCCCTTCTCATACATAAGTACCTATAGGGTTTTTTAGCTTTCCTTAACTCACATTAACTTCATTAAACTCTTATATATTCATTAAAAGAGCCACATTGCTCTAACCAACATATTTATGAGGCATTTCAGACAATAAATGCTACCCAACCACCAATCATTATAAAACCATAAATGCTAGGATTCAATAGCTCAAACAACTCCTATTAACTCTATTTAAGTCAATTGGTTCAGACCGATAGCCTATATGGACCAAAAATTATCATTCTCAACCAAACCCTAACTTCTAACATTAAGAAAATGGAAGAAGATAGGAAGATTTAGGCTTAGAAACCTTAACTCAAATGTTTTCTAGCTCTAATATACTCCCAATATTCGAATTCCTTAAGCCCTAGCACTTCTCTTTTCATTTCTTTCATCTCTCCTCTATTTTTCTCTTTTGCTGCATCAGTTTTCATGTTCTTATTTCTATAGAAAAGTGACCATGCGTCATGACAGATACACAATGCGCCGCGACACATGGCACAGAGAAGTCCTCCTCAGGCATATTAGCACACATGCGCCATGGCAACTCATTCACAAGCAGCGAATCATAGTACAGAACTTTGCCCTTCAAATTTTCTTCCTATTTCATGTTTGGGTAACCCAACTTTACTTTAGACCCATATTTAGGGGTAAAATTACAATCAAACACACTTGTTAGACCTCTCTAGCCACACATCTTAATAATAACTTAATTACTCTAATTCAGGCTTAATTAATCACGTTTAAAATTTGAGGATGTCACATTGGCTCATATTAGGGTTTAAAACCTAGCATGATCTTTTGTAGAGTCAAGTAATTGATGCAAGTATGTGTCGATAGTGGTTTAAATAGTTTTAAATCATTGAACTACTTATGGCATATTTGAAAAGTTTTAATGTTGTATGTTTGAAAAGTTTTAATGTTGTATCCACAATGATTTATCTATTGGGTAGTGATTTGTCGACGCATGATGATTTAAATTCTTATAACTTATTGAGTATATTTATTTGTAATTATGGAATATGATTTTGTGTCCTTTAGCGCTAATGGTTAAGGAATAGGGTTTGGACACTTGGTTGATGATTTGTAAATGCCAAATGAGTAGCTTTAGCCCTAGGTGTTCAAATTTCCCGCTTGCTATCAAATTGTTGTGAGTCCAAAATCATTAGCTAGTGTGTCTATTTGTCTATGTGTGGATACTTGGATCATCTCATATGGAGATCCAAGTTAAAAGTTGTGTGCAAGAAAAGTTGGAATGGGAAGTTATCATGACAAGTTAGCCACAACGGATGGCATTGTTAGCCACTACGGATGGCTCACAAAGTATCAGCCATGGTGAATGGTGTTGTTGGCTAATGCTCTTTGTACAACAAGTCATAGTGGATGAGTCCTTGGCCATGGCGAATGGTACAATTTTGTGAAAATGACTTTTTTGACCTTATTTTAAATTGTTACAATGTTCCTCCTTCTTCCACGCTTTCTAAACTTTTCTCACTTTGATTTTAAGTATGATAAAGGCTTTTAGTATTTATCATCAAATGAAATTATTTTTGGGATCTCATTTACTTAAAAGTTTCTATACTTAGTCTTTAGAGTTAAATAACTAAGGTTGTTCCTATCTTCCTTCTATATCTTTCTCAATTAATTCAATGGTTTTAGGTGGTTGTGATTAGTAGTGGTTGAGACATTATACAAGGTACAGTCAACAAGTTTTGCTAATAAGTTAACAAATAATATTAGTAAATTAATAAGTTATGTAGGGTTTCAACAAGTCACTAAAATTGAATATTTTTTGTATTTTCATCAAGTTTTGCTAGTAAATCAATAAGTAATATCAGTAAATTAACAAGTTAAGCTAGGATTTAACAAGTCAGAAGGATTAAATATGTGGAAGATATTATCAACAAGTTTTGCTAGTAGATTAACAAATACTGTTAATGAAATAATAAATAATATTATGAACAAGTTTACTGAGCATTAATTTGGAAGAATGATTATATTATATATTTGTTTTGGCATTGTTTAATTAAGAGGCTTCATTTTCTCAGTTGTTAATATCTTTTTGGTATACCAAGTAGTCTTTGGTGAAAGCCCCCAACCACTCTTAGGTATTTATTTTCGATGGTCTAGCCATTGGAGAATCGGTGACTGGTGGTAGTGGTTTGGTTAACCTCTGTGATGATGGATGAATATTTTTAAAAAGTTATTGAATGGCATTTTAGTCATTTTCCATAACAATATAATTTCAATTTAGCCTTTGGTCTTGCAGTGTAATATTCAAATTTTTTTGAGACTAATTTGAAATAAAGATTCAAAGATGATCTTATATTTAAATTCTCCATTGAATAACTTCATATTTTCTTGAGCCTTCTTTACAATTATCTTCTTCTTGAGGGTCTTCATTATAGTTGTCCATTATATTATTATTATTCCGCCTATTCTGTTTTATCTCTCCACTAGTCATCCCAAATTGCCCCCACACCTTGAGTTACGATATTTCATCTTCAATCTTCAACAATTTAACAAGTCACAAAGATTAAATATGTGAAAGATATTATCAACAAGTTTTGCTAGTAGATTAACAAATACTGTTAATGAAATAATAAATAATATTATGAACAAGTTTACTTAGTATTAATTTGAAAGAATGATTATATTATATATTTACTTTGGCATTGTTTAATTAATAGGCTTCATTTTCTTAGTCGTTAATAATTTTTTGGTGTATCAAGTAGTCTTTGGTGAAAGCTCCCAGCCACGCTTGGGTATTTATTTTCGGTAGTCTAGCTATTGAAGAATCGGTGACTAATAATAGTGGTTTGGTTAACTTATGTGAGAATGGATGAATATTTTAAAAAAAGTTATTGAATGCCATTTTAATTATTTTTCATAACAATATAATTTTCATTTATCCTTTGGTCTTGCAGTGTCATATTCAATTTTTTTTAGATTAATTTAAAATAAAAATTTAAAGATGATCCTGCATTTAAATTTTCCGTTGAACAATTTCATATTTTCTTGAGCCTTCTTTACAATTATCTTAGAGGGTCTTCATTGCGGTTGTTTATTACATTGTTATTATTATTTCGCCTATTTCGTTTTATCTCTCCACTGATCATCCCAAATTAAAAAAAAAAAAAAAAAATCTTCAACCATTCTCATAGGACTTTGTAATCCTTGTGCATCTCGTGCTGGCAAGGTTTCTTCGTTCGCTTCCGCATACTCTGTTGCTCCTTTCGACCTTCATGATGGTGAGACTTTGTGGCCATGGGTGAGCTCATAATTGTGACGTTTGGGTGTGAGCTTCTAATCTCGTTCTCTTACCAGAATAGTAGCAGCGGAGCATACTACGAGAATCTGAATCTCGTCTTGTAGAAGAAGCAGAAGTCGACGGACAAGCATTCCGCTTCGCCGTCGGACGTCGTCCACTGTTGTCAGCCCTGCTTGGTTGATTCCGGCAAGTATTGAAGAAGGTTCAAAACCCTAGGGTTTTGTCTTCTCCCAAAATCCGCCGAGATTGTTTTGTTCAATCTGGCTTTGAATATTGATTTGAATTTGTTCCCCGCGTTATCTGTTCCCTGCGTGGTTTTCAACCCTGTGTCGGCTGCCTTGGCGCTGTTTCTTGCTTTGTTTTAAAATTTTCATTTTTAATTTGGCTTTTAATCTGACCGTGTAATAGTTTGAAGATTAGATTTAGTAATTTATTTTTTATTTAAACTTTGATTTCTAGTTTTTGCTTGAATGGTGTCTAATTGGCTATTTGATGCTTTGGATTTTGTTGTTGTTCAATGTTGTATTTGTTGTGTATTGACTTTCTGTATATTAATAGCTTGATACTATAATTAAAATATTCAAGGTATTTGTGATGCATGATCTGATAAATGACTTGGTTTGATTTGTGTCTGGGAATTCAGACGCTTGAATTTCAATCATTTCCTTCTGCTTATTGGTCTGGGAATTTGGATGCTGTGAGGGGGAAAAAAACAAGGGAGAATGACAAACAAGGATCTCATAAGAAAATTTATGTCAAGTTAGGATTTCTTCACAACTAAAATTCCCAAATTCATTACTCCTTCTCTCATGTTTCAGTGCCAATATCTTAAAGAAATCTTGATTTGGCATTTATCTTTTTAAGAGGTCCTTGTCATTCCCCCAAAAAAAAAAAAAAACAGTTGTGCATCTTACTCTAGGCAACACTTTTCATGATCATGAATTGCAAAATGTGATTGTAAGATCATAAATTTCAAGAGTGCTATCATTGTCATTCTTCAGTGGTTAGGAGTTGCCTTAATCAATTGACTTAATAAGGCATCTTTGTTGAAGTATTTGGAACAAAAACTAAGAGGGTATGATATTAGCTATCTATATTTTCAAGATTACACTTGGGGCAATGTAATATAGGTCCACCTATGTATGCTTCTAAGATGGCTTGAGTATTTTCTGTATTCTTTTTTCAATTGATATCCTTTTTTTTCTCCGGCCAAATCAGAAATTACAATTTGTGCTGTACTTATAATGTCGCAATTTTTTTCAAAGAAGGAAAAGGATCGTTTCCCCCACTAGACTTGGGTCCTGGCTCAGCTTCTTTCTGTGTTATTGATTTTGGTAACCAATGGTATAACTTTAATGTGGCAGGCTAGCAACAGAATCTCCATTTACTTATTTATGTTTGAAGAAGAATCATGTTTTTGGATTTGGAGATTCTACTAGTGGTAGAGAAGTAGAAGTGCAAATCAGTGGCAGTACAAATCAGAAACTTTCTAAATTGCATTTGTTACAGTTGTTGTCTTCTCAAGAATTATGAAATCACTTTTCTTGGAAGCTATACACATGAGTGTAAAGCCTTTGCAACAAGACAAAATATGCTTGTGAAAGCAAGAGATGTCTGTTGTAATGCTAAAATTAATTCTTAATTCTTGGCCATGGAAAAGCTCCATGAGTGTTTATAGGCTAATTATGCTTTATTTTTCTGTTTCAGGGCTTCTCAGGATGCTTGCACTGACAGACTCGCCTTTTTTTATTATTAAAACATTTGAACCTGTTAAAATTATGACAAGTATGCAAAGCACAGTTGTAAGTTCAAGGTGTCTATGTCTAAGAAGTTAACTTTGTTTCTCACATTTTTCTGCATGCTGAATCTTCCTTTAGTTCATATAATTTTTTCTTATTCTGTTTTTAATACGAGGATGGCATGTAGAATCCAAAATTTTCTGAAAAAAAATATTTGTTGAAACTGCCTTTTCTTTATCAGGTATGTGCTGCAAAAGGTCCAAGACCAAGATATCCTCGAGTGTGGAAAACTAAAAGAAAAATTGGGACAATTTCCAAGGCTGCAAAGCTTGTTCAGAGAGTAAGTTCCTCATCTTCTTCCTCTGTTTAATTGCAGTAACGTTTAACATTGGATAAGTCATTATGTGCAAAAGAGTTAAAGGTCTCTTAACATGTAATGATAATGTTTATTCGATGTTTTGCATTTTCTGGAGAGGTGATAAGGGTCTTTTGTAGATTAAAGAACTGTCAAATGTCAAAGAGGAAGTTTATGGTGCTCTTGATTCCTTTATTGCTTGGGAATTAGAGTTCCCTCTTGTTACTGTAAAGAAGACACTTAAAACTCTTGAAGAACAACAAGAATGGAAGCGTGTAATACAGGTATTTTTAGTGAACTGGAAAATTTCCTTTTTCATTTTCTTTGATGTTGTTTTGGACTCATAGTTTTAGTGTTATGTTAGTTTGAACTTTCTCCATTTATTCAACTTGCTTCCTAACAATGCAATTGCTTCCTTTGGTCTGATTGCTGTTTTTTCTTCTTGTTCTTATCAAGCTTTTATGGGTCATATCTCCTATGTTCAACCTGTGGGTAGCATCTGAGATGATTGTTTTTCAACAAAATTACATATGGCTTTGTAGGTGACAAAATGGATGCTTAGCAAAGGTCAAGGAAGGACAATGGGAAGCTATTTCACATTACTTAATGCCTTAGCAGAAGATGACAGATTGGATGAAGCTGAAGAACTTTGGACAAAGTTGTTAATGCAACACATGGAAAGCTTGCCTCGTAGGTTCTTTGATAAAATGATATCCATCTACTATAAGAGGGGCATGCAGAAGAAGATGTTTGAGGTATTGTCATTCAGTTCTCTTTCATTTTTCATTCTCTCTCCCTCTCCCTCTCTCTGTGCTTTTTTTTTTGTTGCCTTTTCCTTTTCCCTTTTCTTTTTTTTTTCTCTTTTTATTTTATTTTTGTTTGGGATGGGGGTGGCGTTGAACAATGAGGTCTAAAGACCCAAAAATGAAATACAATTGAAAAGTGCATTGTTACTTTTTTTTTTTTTAATATAAGGCCACAGTAAAAATACCCATGCAAAAGGACCAAAGTCAAGTCATGTCTGAAGTCAAAATACTTCTACAATCTATAGGAGTGTCATCAACTATAGTAGTATCAAAATGGTCACTTGAGACCTTGTGAGATAGAAGATCAACACAGTGGTTTGCTTCTCTGTAGACGTGTTCCAGAGTAACCTCCCAATTCCTCATGATGAGATTTCTGATGCTTTTAATGATTGTTGAGAGTGGATGACTCTAGATTAAGTTGCTATTAATGAGGGATATGGCCTCCATTGAATCAGTACAAATATTGATTTGAGGAATCTTAGCATTCCAGCAAATATTTAGCCCTTATAGAATTCCTATAAGCTCAACAGCTGTGATGTGTTGGTAACCAAGGTTTTTAGTGAATCCTTTGATCTAGTTACCCTTGTCATTCCTGATAAGGCCTCCACAAGTTGCAGCACCATTACGCTTGATTGTACCATCAACATCATGTCTCACCCACCCAGGATTTGGAGGCTTCCAACTCGCGTCATGTCTGGTGTTGAAATTACTCAGATGGTCAAGCTTGGATTGAAGTTGTAGGTCATTTATAATTTGTTGGGTGCTTGAGAAGGTAATGTCTTTGTCCAAAGTATCATTTTTGGAGTAAACTTCCTTGCATCTTGCTTTCCACATGTTTCAATAGGCTTGGGCAAAAAGTTTCTTCTAGGGCAATCCGCTAGTATATCTGCTTTCTGCTTCATTATTAGCATTCTAAATTATTCAGTCTTGCACAGGAAGAGAGAAAAAAATATTATATGTGGAAGGGTTAACTAATTTTTTCCAAACCTCCTTAGCATCTCTACAATCTTGTAAGATATGAATAGAAGAGTCAAGAGAATTATAGCCCAGTTGGCAAGTACAATGCTGTATAGTGTTTTTGTTAGCGAGCATGATATTTATTTGTAGACGTTCTCAAGCTGCTTTCCAAAGGAAGTACTTAATCTTTTCATAAGTAGGCCATTTCCAGATTTTGGCCCAAATATCATTGTGTCCATGAGCCTGCTGATTTTCCATTCCAAGCACCTGCCATGTCCCAGTCAGTCAGCAGAAGCTTGAGCTCCGTTGGAGCCACATCCATCAGATGAAGTCCCAGGTCTTCACTTTTGCTGGTCGTCACCATTCAATCTTTGCATGAGCTCATGTCTCTCAATTATTTGTGACCTGGCAGTCTCTCAATCCGTTCCTTGATTCTGTCCAGAAGAAGAGTATATCTCAAGCCACAGCCGTAAGATGAAGTCCCAGGTCTTCTTTTTTGCTGGTCGTCACCATCCAATCTTTGCATGAGTTCATGTCTCAATTATTTGTGACCTGCAAGTCTCTCAATCCGTCCTTGATTCCGTCCAAAAGAAGAGCATATCTCAATAACAAGTCACGCTCTTCTAATGCGTTCATCTTCACCAGGGAGTCACTTTCAATGATTAGTTGTTTCATGTAAAAAAAGTAACCAGCATGTGATCACTAGCCTATTTTCCAAGCTGCCTTATGATTGGGAGTGTAGAAAATATCACACATTAAGTCTACTTCTGTTTTCGAAGTTCTAATTGCCTCTGGACAGTCCCTTATTACATTGATAATGTGTTCCATTTCTACATCAAATCTTTTACACTCTTCCCCATACTCCATGTATCAACTAAATTAAAGGTTGGGATTCTTCATGTGTAGCTACTAGCTAGAGAGTTGAAGTTTCTAACCCTCTGTGGTGTCCTCAATTTCCATATAGCTTTCCATACAGGGACCAATGCAGTTTCAACCTCATCTGACAGCATAATATATGTACTCATGGTCAGATCTTTCATTTTTTTCCTTCTCGCCCTATCATAACTGCTTGGGACTGGTGTATGCGTGGTTTTTATTTTAAGAAGGATTATCGAAGTCTCTCTTACATTGAAATTCTATTTACACTTTTGTGGTACACTTATTACTGTATTCTAGAAGTTGTTTTATTCGATGCTAGTCCATAGGTATTAAAAATCTTTCACTTTTTTTTTTTAAAAAAAAACCTAACCCACTAATTATTATGTTGCTAGAGCTGCAGTGTCTGCTTTCCCCAAAAGCATGACAATTCTTTTAATTCACTCAAAGCCGTTGAATATTTCTATTTTGCATGATTTTTTAAAAACAGAATGTGGTTTACATGTGCTTTTAATAATTATTCTGCCATTGGCTCACGCCTTTGCTTCTACCTCAGACTATTTGAATACTGGTCTTTTTACTCTTCTAAATAGTTTGATTACGAACTTACTTGGTTGTATAAAACAAAATGCATGGCTTACATGCTTCTGACCTACCGAGGCATGTAATCATGGATATTTACAATATCTCGTAGATATTTGCTGACATGGAGGAGCTTGGGATCCAACCTCTTGTGTCGACTGTTAAAATGGTTGGGAATGTCTTTCAAGAGCTGGGTATGCTGGATAAATATCAGAAGTTGAACAAAAAATATCCGCCACCTACTTGGGAATGTCGATACATCAAAGGAAAGCGTGTTAGAATTAAAATAAATTATCAAGGTGAGAATAATCGAATCAATGAAAACATGGATGAGCGCGAAGATGATGAACAAAATGGAAAGAAAAGCAAGGAGGGACTTGAGCAGAGACCAGATGAAATTCATGATGAATTCCCACAGGATACCGATGTAATTTATGACGAAACTGAACGAATGTGAGATGATTTGTATGAGCAAACGGAACCTGTTGATGTACCATGGGTGGAAGCTGAAGTAAGATCAAATGAATCACTATAAACTTGAACTTCTTTCATTTTCATTTTTTGACTGTTTTACTCTTCTGTTTTGACGAGAATCATTCATGATCTGGTACCAGCAATTAATTTAGGTTTGTATCAAGTCAAGTTCCAAAACCCCTCCTCTTTGGCTTTGCAACATTTTATATCTTATGTATAAGACTTAGTCTCAGAGTCTTTAACCCATACATAGAAATTCTGTTAAATTAAAATTGTGAATTTTTCCCCAAAAAGCAAAAAGAATTTCAAATTCGGTTCAGAAATTCTGTCGGTTAAGGAAATTTAATTTTTCTTTACAAAATAGTGAATTTCTTCTCAAAAATTGTTACGTCCCAATTTTTTTTTTTTTTTAACCAACGTTGCATCCCAAAATTTTGAAAGGGACTAAATGAAAATTCACAGGGACCAGTTGTAAAGAATTCTACAGATTTGGGGCTTTAGCATAAGTAGGCTGGGTTAAGGGAAGATGGTAGCTCAAGTCAATGAATTCGAGAACTTGCATTCCAACACTGGACAATTTTTTTTTTCTTTTTTGTGGTTGGTATAAGGTCTATATATATATATATATATATTTATAAACATATAAAATGATTACAACAAAGCAAGAAAAAAAAAAGCTGTCAGCTATAAATCTGAAAGCCCAAACTAAGTCTCACAAACAAACAACAGAAAACAAGACATAAAGAACATAAGCATGATGGCCCAAAAGCTCAAAGGAACTACTTCAAGATCAAAGGAATCTAATTCAGGTCCATGTAGATTACTAGGAAAAGAGCTTGCAAAAAGAGGAAAATAAGTAACCCAATCAAAAGTAGGCCTATAAAAAGTTTTTAAAAACCCAACAAGCAGAGTTAGTGAGTCATTTTCAACCAATTTCTTTATGCTCTATCCATTATAAGTGTATTATTAAAATTATCACTCATTGTTTGAAAAGTTATATGGATAGCTTGATCTCTCCTTTCCAGGTAGGCTTTGTTCCTAAGAGACAGATCCACCATGGTAACATTATTGTGGGTTAGGAGCTCTTACGTATCAGGAATAGAATTGAGAAAGGAAAAGGATTCTTCACCTTGAAAATTGATCTTGGAAAAGCTTTTGACCGTGTTAGATGGGATTTTCTAAATCAATGCTATAGGAAGCTGGAAGACTCCATCAAGGAGATCCCATTTCACTGTTTTTATTCATTATATGTATGGATAGGTTGTCACACCTAATCTATGATAGGATTGACTCAAGTGATTGGAAACCAATCCTTGTAACAAAGCAAGAACCATCTATATCTCATCTTATGTTTGCAGAAGACTTGTTACTGTTTGGTGAAGCTTTGGAGGCTCAAGCAAATATAATGATGAAGTGTTTGAACGAATTCTGTTTAGCTTTGGGAGCATGATTCAACAAAGCAAAGTCTTCTCTGTTCTTCTCTAAAAAGACCAAACTGGATCTCAAAGGAAAAATTAAAAGATCAACCAAGATGCAAATTTTTGGTGAGATTGGTTGATATTTGGGCTTTCCTTTGTCAAATGAAAGAAGCCCAAAGAAAAGGTTTCAATACATTGTTGAACGAGTGAGGAGTAAACTGGCGGGTTGGAAAATGAGTTTTCTTTTGATAGTAGGTAGAATCATTCTTGCTAAATCAATTCTAAGCATCATTTCGTTGTACCCAATACAAGTTGCCAAAGTGCCTGTATCTGTTTGTAACAAAATAAAGAAGCTTCATAGAAATTTTATTTGGGGAAGTATAAGCAGTAGAAGTTTTCATTTGCTTAATTAGGACAAAATTAGCCTACCTAAGGAGTATGGAGGTTTAGGCTTCAAAAAACTCGCCTCAGTTGATAGAGCTTGTGGTTTTAAACTTGCTTGGAAGCTTGTAACGGGTAGCAAAGGTCCTTTGGGCTGAGGTTCTACAAAACAAATATATGTTCATGATGGAGAAACAGTTCAGATCAGAGGACAATTTACTTAACATTCAAAAGGGTGACTCCTCCTTGTGGAAATTTGATAGGACCAACTCCCAAAACCAGAGAAAAAGAGATTATAACTGACAAATGGTGGAAAATTTCACGAGTATCCTCTATTTCGAATGGAAAATGTAGAGAATGCAATTACTAATTTTGCTTCTCACACACACTACCTCCTACCTTGATAATCAAACAAGAAAAAGAACGATAAAATAATCTCACACAACCTAGTTTTCGAGAGATTATGCCCTCTCCACTAAGATGATACAATTGCCTACCTTTCTCTATCTTCCCTCTTTTTTTACTCTCCCCACTACCCTGACAAGGTCAGGAACCATTATGTGTTGTGCCTTCCCTATTATGCCCTTACTCATTCTGCTCTTAGTCATTTCCTTTAAGCCTCCTTGTATAAACTTGGCCACACTTGCTGGAAGGCCCAACATTCCCCCTTTTGTAAGCAACACCTTGTCCTTAAGGTGAAATTTAGGAAATTATTCCTTAATGGTTTTTGCATCTTCCCATGTATTCTTGTGGTAAGGTAAATCTTTCCATTTAATTAAGAGCTAAAATTTCCCACTGTTGGTCTCCCTTACATCCTTGATCTCCTCCGGTTGAACTTGCAACTCTAATTCTTCCATGAGACCCTTCGGGAGGGGTTGTGTAGTAACAGAGTTCTTTAAAGACCTTTTTAGCTAATAAATGTGAAATACATTATGTATCTGAGTTGTGCTTGGTAGCTCCAGTCTATATGCCACCTTCCCAATTCTCTCCAAGATCTTGTAAGGCCCATAAAACTTGGGTGACAACTTCTCGTTTGGCTTTTTTGCTAAGGATCTATATCTATACGACTTCAACTTGAGGTAAACAAGGTCCCCTTCCTCAAATTGGACTTTCCTGTGGTGTTTATCTGCTTGGTTCTTCATCCTCACTTGAGTCTTTTCAAGTTGTCTCTTGAGTTCATCTAGAATCAGATTTCTTTCCAGGATTAACTCATCCACATCCTAAACTCGTGAGGGCTGATCTTATCATTTTAAGAGTATCAGAGGGTCCCTTCCATAAAGTGCCTTGAAAGGAGTTGTCCCTGTAGCATTGTGATAAGTAGTATTATACCAATATTTAGCCAAAGGAAATACTTTAGCTCACTTCTTAGGGGTATTTCTAGCAAAATACCTTAAGAAAGTCTGAAGAGTTCTATTAACCACTTCGGTTTGATCGTTTGTTTCAAGGTGACAAGGAGAACTAAACTTGAGAGTGGTTCCAACCAAGCTAAAGAGTTCTTTCTAAAATTGACTCATGAAAACATGATCTCTATCAGATATAATAGAGTTAGGGAATCCATGCAATTTGATGGCTTCTCGGAGTAGCAAATCAGCCACTTCTCTAGCATTATAAGGGTGCGATATGGGAAGGAAATGTCCATACTTGGTTAGATGATCCACCACCATAAAAAATGTGTCAAATTGGGTAGTTTTAGGAAACCCCCTAATAAAATTCATGCTAATATCTTCCCAAGATGCTTGAGGAATTGGTAAAGGTTGCAAAGGTTCGACTGGACTTAGAGCCTCATACTTGTTGCGTTGGAAACTTCACACCTTTTCATATACTCTTGAATGTCTTTCCTCATACCATCCTAAAGAACCACTACAGCCAGACGCTTGTAGGTCCTTCAATGCCCTGAGTATAACCTCCTTCTATATTCACTAGATATAAGAGAAGATTAACTAAAATCACCACAATCACAATAAATGGTAATAAAAAACTTCATGTGAAAAGCTTGGGCCCAAGACTCATTTTGCAAAATCAATGAAATCACAACACATCATAGAACTAAATAGCAGAAGTAAGTCACATGCATTCATATAAACCATCGCATGCTTAAAGACTGCCAAATCAGGTTGGGAAAATGGGCCATACGCTGCGGCGTGCAATACATGCATCACTACATGTGGCACAGAGCCACATGACTGACCCTCTGTGTCATGCACTGCGGCGTGAGACGCCATATATCATTTGACAGTAAAAATGATAAACTTGTGGGTGTGCCATTTTCACATACGACGTTCAGTCGGAGTGACTCAAGCGCCTATACGAAACTTATCTCGTAAGCTAACTAATGAGATAGGTTTGGACACGATCTAACGGTTCGATCAAAATTTAAACACTCGAGTGTAAAAAGTTACTTTTTCTAAAAATTTTACGCACCCAAGCACTCAAATCGATCTCTTAGTCTTATTAGACCATTCTAAGCCTTAAACCAAGTCCAAAAGGACCTAACACACTTGATTAACCACAATATATCACATATATTCATATATTCTAAAATTTGACCCCTCAATGACTAATTTTCACATTTCATAAATTTGGCATAACTTAACACAACTCAACCATGTATGCAATCTCCTATGACAACTTATTTACATATACATTCTCAAGTTTTCAGTTTATTACACAATACTTTGAGTTTACATGGCTTTAACAACTTTAAGCTAGTCTTGACTCTCTTTTTTCTTACTCTTATCACTACTTTGTCCTATAAAAATATAACCACGGGGTGAGATAATAATCTCAATAATGGAATAACTCACTCTTATTGACTATCACGTGCAACAATATGAAAGTAAAGTATAATATATCTTTCAACATAGCACATAGTACGTATCACATATTTTATTTCAATTCACAACAATATGCATCAATCTACTCTACTTTGTCCTGTAAAAATTTAACCATGAGGGTGAGATAATAACCTTAGTAACAGAATAACTCACTCCTATTGACTATCACGTGCAACAATATGAAAATAAAGTACAATATATCTTTCAACATAGCACATAGTATGTATCATATATTTTATTTCAATTCACAACAATATGTATCAATCCACTTCTCTTACCACTATAATCGCCACTTTTCACTACTTTTACACATATACAACATATAGCATGATCACTATTAACTGAACCTTTGAATTATCCTGACTTGAAACCATAGGCTCGCTTTAAATCAATATACAATCTTATTGGCATTGAGTTCACCTTTAGTAGTAGAATCACCCGGCTAAAGGT